AAAAAATATCGACGGGAAAATAAAAATGAAAACGAGACATTTACATAAACATCGATGCGAGGCAGGGTATCCACGTTTTTCTCCTTTTTGTGTGTGTGTGGTCCTGGTGGTGACAGAGACCGGCCGTCTGGCACATGAGTGAATGAAAGACAGGGCGGGGGGTAGTGCGGTGCGGGGCCGCGGGGACGGCGGCGCACCGGGGCAGTGCTCTCTCCCCAGCACTTTGGGGGCGCCGGCCCCCGAGCCCGGCCCGGCCGGCGCGCTGTCCCAGAGGACCCCGGGGCCCGGGGCCGGGCACGACCGGACTCAGGTCCGGGCTTGCGGGCCTCTTAGCCCACAGTCCGCTACACAAGCACACACGCACGCTGCGCACGCCCACAATCACAGAGGGGACCGGACGGGACACGGACACACAAACAGCGCCCCCCGAAGGACCGCCGGTGCGGCCGCAGTGTGCGCCGGGGCGACTTCCCGGTCCACGAGGAGAACTCACTTTGAGGCAGTGCGGCGCGGGCGGCCGGCGCGGCAAGGCCCGCCAGCAGCAGCAGCGTGAGGGCCAGGATGCAGGCCTTCATGACGGCGAGGACGGCGGCCATGTCAGCAGGCGCATGCTGGTGGTGCACTCACACGCGAAACACACTGGCGAGCGACACGCGGGCGCAATCACCCTCCCGCCCGCACAGTCGACCCACACATCGGCACCGTAATCCAAAAGCGAGTAGGGTTCACATGGCTCTCGCGCACTCGCGGCGTGGCGCGGCGTGGCGTGGCGCGGCGCGGCGTGGCGTGGCGCGGCGCGGCGTGGCGTGGCGCGGCGTGGCGCGCGCGGACTGCAGCTCGCGTCCTCGGCTACGCGCTCTCTCGGCCCTCGCGGCGCGGCGGCGGCGTCGCGGCTCGTCCCGAAGTGGCGTGCTCTCGGCCCGGCGTCGCGACGCAGACTGGGCCAGCCAGCAGCGACGACTGCTGCGAGAGAGCGCCGCGGCGCTGTGGCTGCTGCGGCTGCTGGAGCAGAGCGCCAGGCCACCCCCGCCGCGCGCGCCTCGGGCAGGCCCTGGGGCAGGCCTCAGCCCCGTCCGGCAGGCCCTGCCCGGCCCGTCCCTTCCCTTCATGTTGCCTTGATTAATCGCGTGTGGTATTTGAGAGTTGAAAGGCCCCGCGCCGCGCCACGCCACGCCACGCCGCACGCGGTGAGGAGAGGAGAGGGCCCCGGCCCGGCCCGGCGTGTACCTCTGATACGGCCCCGCTATCGGGGTGCAATTAACTCGGGCTGGACTGGGGAGGGAAGGACCAGAGTGTAATATGGACCACAGAGCCTCCGGACCGGCCGGGCCGTCGCCCGTCCTCCCCCCTCCTCCCTACCCTAACCGCTGGCTGTTGCAGTGAAAGGGAGAGAGAGAGGAAAAATACCAATTTAGCACACGGTGGAGGGGGGGGGCGCACTGGCAAAGTTGAATTTCATTTCCTTTTATTTGTTTATTTTTAAAAAGGGCGGAGGGAATGACGAGGTCGATTTTCTAATGGTTGTTTTAGTGCTGTCGTACTGAGTGGTCGCTGTGCCCGCTCCAACCAAATGCGTATACGAGACTGCATGCACCGGTGCGAGCGGGTTTGCCTATCATCATGGCACCTTAAGGCCCCGTGCGAATAGGCAACGCGCCTACACCCGTGCGTGCCGTACAGCATAACTACACAAGTGAGCGGGTTTAATCAGCCATCTGGTATAGCGCACTTAATTTTCTTTCATTGAGTCTTTCGTCTTTGATGGACACTCTGAAATGAGAAGCCATCGTGAAAAGATGGGAAGCAATAATAATACGCCCGGTTCTCTCTGGCTGCAAACGCCCGCGTCGTGGAGTTTGACGGCATGTACCGCGCACGACCATGAGTGTCAGCAGGATGCCTAACTCGCTCAGGGCGGGTGCCATACCTATGGGGACGGGCTGAAGTCCCATCATGTGTGATCAGATCGCTGGTTGACGTCGCTAAAGACGAATTTAACAGTCGGAAGAGAATAGAGAGTAGAGGGAGTGGAAGGCGAGGCGTGGCGTTCCGCGTTCGCCCCACCCCCGGTCCGCCAGTGATTGCGCGCGGGCTGCGGCGAGGGCCGGGCGCGTTACAACCCCCCACCCCCCGGGGGGTGACACGGCCCCTAATATTTACATGTTAATAGAAACCACACTCGTGGAAAACCTTCTTCCCTCTGTTTTGTGCAAATCGCCCCGCCCGCCGGAGGTGTCGGCGGTGTCGGCGCCAACGCAGGGGTCCCCCGATAAGGGAGTGCCCGCAGCTGGCCAAGCAAATGAGTGGGCTGCGAACGGCAACGGCCCAGCGAGGCGAGCAGAGGGCGCGTGTGCAGATTGTAGCAGACGGCGGCAGATGACCGGGGGACGAGCCTAAAGTGCAGAGTGGAAATAATTACCATCCGAGCTTCCAGACCGATTAGGCCTGTACACCGCTTCTGTTGGCAGAGTGCAGACGACGCTGATGACTCTCCCATAAATTCCTATTCTGTTTTCATCTATTTTTGTTCCTAGAAGACACTCTTCAAAGCTTGGAAAGCTATAGGCACCCGCCGCAATTGCAATTTTCGAACGTCCAAGCGGAGTGCCATTACGGGCGGCGTGACCTCTTCGCCTTGTTATTGGCCAAGTTGGGATCCAGCAGCGAATGGGAGGGGCCGTGCGGGGGGAAGGGGCGTTGTTTGGGTCGGTTGGTCCCCAAGAAGAAGGGAAAGGGCATGAGGAAAAAAAAGATAACCGATAGCCAAGTAATGACCGCAATTAAAAACAAATTACGGAACTATAGCAGCAAGTACCGCGGCGTCCGCCATGGCGGGGTTGGTGGGTCCAAAGCCCCCCTCCCTCCGGGAAGGGTGGAAATGGAGGGGAGGGTCGTATTACGCCAGCAGAAAACGCCCGGTGATGGACGAATATGTATTACAAAATTTATTTCAAACACATCTTGGTGGCCAACAAACTAGCAGCGGGGAATTCCCCTAGAGGTGTCGAATCGCGTGAAGGGGAAAGAAAGACTAGTTCAGGTCAAGGCCAAACGGCCGTCTAAAAGACATGGCAGACCATATTTTTCAAAGCCCAATCCCCCGAGGCAGCAGCGAGAATCCACGAAGCCAAAACTACAGCGAGTTTGCGACACTGATTCTCACGTCGGCATGTCGACGCCGTCTGTTTTCCCCCCAGGCGTGCCACCACACTCTGAGGCGGCGTCCGCAAGAAACGACCGCGGCGCGGCCGGGGAAACGACACAAGTATCGGATTCGGACGCAGACTGCCTTCCCCCTTTCCCTCTCCTCTCTCTCCCACAACGGCACGCTTCGCGCGCACGCGGCCACCCTGACGTCTCTTAAAAGTTGGAATTGTGTCTTAAGAACAAGTTTAGATGAGCTCTCAAACGATCGTGGCGTTCTCTCTCTCTCTCTCTCTCTCTCTCTCTCTCTGATAGTAGGGTGGGGGGTGGGGTAGAGCCCAGGAGACTGTGGCGCTGCCCGTGTCCTTGTGACAGATTGTGACCAGGGGGTGTGGCCAGTGGCCACGAGAGTGCCATGGAGCGCAAAGGAATAGGGCGAAAAGTTAAACAGGAGGACAACGAGGTGCAGCCGAGAGCACTTCAATCCATCTCACTTTGTCAATATCAGCTTTTATTAAGGCTAAAAATATATGACACAAGGATGTAAAGAGGACCAGAAATTTATTAAAACCAAAGTATCAGTCTTTGAAAAACAACAAATAATTTATGGGAACATTTTTCTTTTTCACCAATGAAGAAAAGAAAATATTGAAAACTTACAACATTTACAGGGGCTGTCAGTGGTTTCAAAAGGTTGCAAAACATAGTAACTTCTATCAGTCTTTTGGGATATTTTATAATATTACTTATATCACAGTACTTATTTGTCTAGTTACACTACTGATTTTCATGAAAACTTCATCTTACATTATTTGCCTAGTGTTTCTTTTTTTTTTAGACAGCTAAATCAAGATATGGACAAACATTGCAGTGAGCATATAAAGATGAATCTTCTTGTGAGAGAAAAAATAGAGTTTGGCTCGAGCAGCCTGACTCTGAATGATGAGTTACAATGGTGTAGATGCGATCTCTTATATCAGAAAGAGAAGCTCGTGCTGGCAGAGTGATGGGACAATTTTCACAGTGAATGGTGTTTGCAAAAACATTTGAAATTAAATTACCTTTTAAACACACTGGACATACAACCCGAAGTGTCTCTTCCCATAGCTGCTGCAATGTGTTGTCGTCTGCCATAAGGAGGTCATACTGTTGCATAAGCCAATTCTCTACAAGAATGCAGTGAAAAAAACTTGTTAAAATCAGAAAAAGGTTTCTTTCTTCTAAAAACAATACGTACTGCTTAAATCTTACCTAGCTCAAGCAATGTTTCAGATTCAACCTCTTCCCTGTAACGAGTTTCGTCTTCTACATCCATTTCTCTGAAAGACAGATAAGGTGTCTAATGAAGACGCAATTTTGATTGAGCAGTAATACATTTCTATTAAAAACTTCTTAAACTCACACAAAATCTTCAGTGTCCAAGATATTGGAAACTTCTTGCTGAATAGCTTTGAACACAGTATCGTTGTGTGTCGCACCCACATCCCTAAACTTATCAAGCAGTCGACCTCTACTCTCTTTTATCCGGCTGAGAAACCGCTAAAAAGGATAAGTTTATAAATGAATCGCAATTACAAGAAGAAAGAACAATAAATGTGTTATAAAGAATTAACTAACCTTACGCAGTACATCTTTGAATTGCGGCACTCCATGTTTCAACCGCATAGCAGCATTCCTAGATCGGATTTTCTGATGTGTACTAGGACTAATAATGATTCCAGCGCTCGTAAAAGAACCAGATTCCATTTTTATCAACTGTAAACTTGCACAACAGGACACATTAAAGTTTGCGATGCCCAATGTAGCGAATTTTAAAAACAGAAACAGAACAGAGCAGAAAACAGAAAACAGCTGAGAGCAGCTGAGAGAACAAAAGAGAGATGGTTGAACAAGGCACCCAACATTACAGAACTGAGATGTGCAAGAAGTCAGGATCTGGCGGCACAGAAAGAGTACATAATTGATGAAATTCGTGAGGCGACGCTTGAAACTGTTATATAGTTGTTATAAAGTTATCAGTAGAGGAGAATTGCAGTGAGTGTGCCCAGTCGTCTTGCTCAGAAGTTTTACAGCTTTGGCGTTGGTAACAAGAAAGGATTTCCCGCTGTTCGTTCGTAAATATCCCCAACAACAATAGGAGTTCTATCTTGAGATCCTTTTCTCAAAGTTCTATTGTTCTCGATGTCCCGCATAGTTTCTAATTGATTTGGTCAATGAAAAGGAAAAGAAAACTATTCGATGCGATGAATAACTGTATTTCAAACTTAACGCCCTTTTCGGGGCACTTCAAAGAAAGAAAAATAAGTTTTGATGCGATTGTTTGTTTTAATGCCAACTTGGCTAGAAACATTTTAAAGTGAAAAATACATTTCTGGTCAACATTGAGTCGCATATGTCAGGTAGTATAAAAAAAAAAAGAAACAAGAAGAAAACAAGTATATGTCCCTGTTAAGAGGTATAAGAACAGTAGAAAATATAGGTAAGTGTATCTTAGAATCATGCAAGCAAAAGAGGAAGATACTTGTTTGAACTCAATTCCATGTGATGACACTGTCTGAGACACAATTTTTAATTAAGGAAAGAAACAAGAAAAAAATGGAAAAGGAAAATTATTGTTTACAAAATTTGATGGTTTGTTAAAATTTTTGTAAGCCTAGAAAAATTATAATAACAACTTCTCAAAATGAACAATTTAAAACCAGAAAACATAAAAATTAAGCATGCCTAATCATGTGTGTCAGAAAACAATGTTATGAAAATAAAATTTGATTCTTGTATTTATTAAACTAATACGTATTCAAGAGACATTAGCACATAAACTACCAAAATAAAACAGAAAAGTTGGCTTAAAAAGTAAGCTGATCTTTGAAGACATATTGCTTCAGCCTCTGCAAGCACTTTCTTCTTTCCAAATGAAAAGGAAGGCTGGATACATGAAATTATGAAACCAGGGCGTAAGGAAATTAAAAATCATCAGAACTCAATTGGCAAGACTATCAATCAAATAATCAACTGCTATGGATTTCATAGCAAATTCAAATCACACTTGGTGAATATGAATCACATTGCTCACTTGGCAAAAAGTGCACTTATCTAAGACTCCATGGACATATTCTTCACAATCCTTTCGATAAAAGTAGTCCAGTCTCCTAATAAAAGCATAGTCAACTTTCATGAACGTGTCATTGCTTTTCCAGGATTCCATGGAGTTTCTTAGACAGCTGATTTTTTTCCAGTATGACAAAATGACTCATTTTATCATTAACAGTTGTGTTACTGATTTTTCCTTCTTACAATCATGAATCATGTGTATTCTGATAAAGTTTTAAAATGTCAATCACATTAAACTCTGAGAATTAAACAGAATGTGAAAATTACAGCATGACCTGATAACATGGGACATTTTGTCAAAAATGGAAAGGGTACATTATCGCACTGCTCAAAAATGCAACAGTGGATCTGGTGTACAGTTGGGGTCTCAGAACCTGAAACCAACTGGTTTCTGGTTGCTTCATTGCATTAGCTCCAAAAAGAGCAGTCAAAGACTTCATCCGTGACTTTTACTTGAAGTTTTCCACTTTGCGAAAAATGATTCAATATGTTCCAATGAGATACCTGCAAAGAAAAACAAAGTTAGATAAAAAGGCAAAACAAATATTTTCATTTGATTGGATTGATTCATTTGGGGTAAGGGTGAAGTGAATAATCAGCAGCACATACCAACAGCTTTTGCAACACCAACAGGACTGAATGTTGTGCTATCATCCCAAGTATGCCCAGTCAGAAGAGTAACAAAATTAGCATCTGAATCCTTGTTGCGACATGCACTACTTTGGTTATTCAGGTAGTGGCAACATTCGAGTACTTGAAAATATGTCCTGTAAAATAGATCAACAAATTGGAATGAGAAAAAAAATGAAATAAATGAAATGAAATATAGAAATTTCCAGAGAACAAAACGTACCAGGCTTCACGAGATTTTTGTTTGGGGTAGGAGACTAGAGGCAAGTGCAAGGCTTCTTGTGACTTTTGTGCTCTGAGAAATCGGCTGCCTTTCTGAAACTGAAATTCTAGCCAACGAATGGCATTACGAGCCAAAGCACTATCACGTTTCAGTTGGTCTAAAGCTGTCAAAACTGCAGCAGACAAAAATAAAGCTAAATTACTTTTGTATCTAAAAATAAACCATTTTTCAAACATTTGTAAAATGTAATACTGTACCAATCGAGGGAACAACCATGATGAACTTCCGACTGGCCATGAGCTGTCCAACCATTTGATAGTACTTTGTCAAAGCATCTACATCAAGAACCAAATAAGGAGAGAATGTTGCTCCCCTGCTACCCCTCTTCACAGATGTCTCTAAATTCTGCACTTCTGCCCTGAGCCACAATTGGCCCATGTTATGCATAACTTCCTCTCTCCTTTGATGATCAACACTTGGAGACACAGGCTATAATTCAAAGAGATAATAATAATAATATGTAGTACAGGAAAATATCCTTAATTATAAATAAAAATTCACAATTGACTTTAAAGAAAGACAGAAAAAAGGGATTTGAATTAAACAAATGATACTTACAGCTTTAGTGGGAGTATCAATGTTTACTTTTTTCTTAGCCAAGAACTTCCTGGTGCCACTATGGTATTCTACACCTGTCTCAGGAATTGTTTCAAGAAAGTTGCAGAATTGCACAAGCCTCTGGATTCTCAAGAGAGCCTGCAAAAGGTGGCAAACATTGTTGAGTATACAAAAAATATAATTGTACATATTTTTTTTCTCACAGTTTGTAATTACTATTTACCTCTTCTTTAGAACTCAGACACTTTTGCCTTATCAACTCCCAATCCAAATTTTCATGAGCTTTGTCAAGAAATGTTAATTTCTGTAACTGGGCATCCTCTGGAAGAGGTACCTTGCACTTTCCTTCAATCATAGAGTAGTGTTTCAAGTAAGACTGAGCAGATAAATCTAAATACAAAACAAAAACATATAAGGTTTAAACAAAAAAGGAAAAAGTACGGTATTTTTTAAATTATTATTATACATTTAGATATATATAAGACCCAATAGCGAACAGGGCGATTTATTTGCGGTAGGGAAAGTATATTAAAGATAAAATTAAAAAGAGAGGACTACCCAGTTGAATCTATACAGTAAGAAAAAGGAAAAATGTCAGCTTTTTGTCCAAAACCATAGATCTGAGAAGCATAACATTCTTGTTCTACGGCAAACATCACAGTGCCATGTACAAGACCCCCTCCTCGCGAAAGACCATAGGGTTGTGCTCTGAGCAGTCAGTACTGCTAACCAACCACACACACGTTTAAATTTAAAACTCCGACTAGCTCTTTCCCAAACCACAACAATTGAGAAGAAACCTGTAAAATGTTTATGTTTTAATTTTCTTACCTTCTTCTATATCCTTCAAATCAATGTTTATAACATTTACTAACTCAACAAACTTCTTGATCAAATCAAATGATTCTCTGCCACAAGCTTCAACAACAGTTTTGTCACCCAAGAGCCAATCAACACAAACTTTAATAGCAGGAAGAAGACTCTCCTCTGCAACTTGTTCAAGAACATCTATTGGATTTGCAGGCTGGAAAAGATATCCAATTAAATAAAGTTAGTGATGAAGTAATTGACAAAGATTGTCCAAGAAGAGTAATTAGAGAATTACTTACCTTTAGTGCTAAGTTTGTTAGCATTGTGCTGGGACTTCCATGGCCATTTCTTACTTGAGCTGATCTGGAAAACGTCAGAAACAATAAACTTCCAATCTACTACTAAAAAAACATGTAAGAAGATAAAACAAGACCATAGCCGACTTACTGTGAGATATCATTGACATCTGTTACCTCCTCTAGAATGACAACATCAGCATCATTATCACCACTTGAAATACCACCATTTATTCTACCATTCAATTCTCCATCTTCATCTGAACTTAAATCTAAGACTACTTCCTCATCTTCACTCAAGTCAGATGAAGCAGATAGATTACATTCTTCATCTGTAACCCAAATGTCTTGTCAGTAAAGTTATTTCTCAAAGAAACATAGATGCAATAAAGATAAAACAGCAAAAGAGCTTACCATTACTTTCATCTGAGTCAGATGTATTGGACTGTCTATGACGGCGTCTCACTATTCTTTTAAGTTTTTTAGGCCGTTTCTTAACATCATTAGAAATTCCATTTGATATGATACTCAGGCCATCGCCATTTAAGTGACCATTTTCTTTAGAATCTTCGGATGATTTCTGTTCTTCTTTAGCAGAATCATTTTCCTTAATATCTGATTTTTTATCTGACAACTCAACACCATCATGATCTTTTACAATTGGCAAAGACAAATTTAAAACGGAATCTTGGAAGTTTTCTTGTACTTGTTGAATCAGAAGACAAAATATAGCCAACAGGAAGGCAACAAGCGAAGAAACTTGAACCGACCCTGCACAACAAAAAATAAAAATGAATAAGAAAATGAGTAAGATTTCAGACTCTCCTGCAAATTATAAAAGACGGTACATCATTACCTTTGCTTCTTAGTTTATAAAGACAAATAAGTGTCACAACAACTATCTTTAGAACCATATCCTTAGAAAGGTATGATGGGAAATTCTCTTGGGGTCTAGATAAGGAGCTAGATAAATAGTGATTTTCACTATTTGAATTAATTGACTCAGTAAACCCAAGACAGATTCGGAAATCCAACAAAGTTTGATGGCACAGCTAGGAAAGATTAAAAAAAAAATAGTAAGAAAACAACTCCTCACTCACATAATATTTTGGTAAGAAACAGAAGAAGGCAATTCTTCCAAATCCAAAATGACTTACATCACTGAGATTGGAGACAGGCTTCTTGTCAAAATACCATAGGTCAGCAAGCAACAAAAAATGAGTGATAAACTGCTGAACATGGTCCTGCGACTCAGACAGCTGTGCACTTCCAGGAGCCAAACAATGGCAGCGCCAAAAAGTAGATCCTGGTCCAACTGTCCTCTCTTGAGGTACTTTCTGAGCATTTCGTTCAAATGATCTCTTCAAATTACCTTCAGCACCTTCAAAAGACTGAACGCACATCAAACTAGAAAAAGGAGAAAATCATTAAAACTGTCATCACTCCAAATTATTAACCAAAATGACAGACAAACTGTCTTACCATCGCATATAGTAGTATACAGCATCTAAGTTACAATTTGTACTCAATGACAAGGTACCTAGTTGGTTGTGTGGCATTCCAATGTCTGGATTCCATGAAAGTGCCTAGTGAAAGGATGGTAAATTGAGATACTCACATCTTTCAATTAAATAATAATTTTAAAATAATTCTACAATACCTGATGGTAATATCGAAATGCAATTTTATGATTCCCGCATGGAGGTATGTCCATAAGATATCTATTTAAATCACCCAAACACACAAGACATCGATGAATAGAATCTCGAGCAGCAAGAAGTTGTTTTGATGAAGGTGTTGGCTTACCTATAAAAAAAAAAATTGAAGATAGATTTAATCTTACTTATAAACTAGATGAACCTTAAAGAAAATATAGGGTGCAGAACTTAAAAAAATTGCAACATACTTTTACCATAATCTTGATCAGGAAACATCATGGGAAAATCAACGCAACCTGAAGAAATTCCAAACTCTGACTGAAGATACAGTATCAAGTGGTGGTAAAATCCAATACCACATTTTAAATGTAGCAAAAGTTGTGACCGCTCCTCTGGTAGCCACTGATTTTCCTGCAGAACATGACCCCAAAAAGATTTAATTAGGTACTGGGTTCAATTTTCTAAAATTTGTCAAAAACAATTAGAGACATTTTTAGAATAAAAATATTAAATCACCTTTCTCAAACGTTTAGCAGTTGATACATCTTCATAAAACCCTTTTCTCCAGAGTATCTCCTCAACTTTGTGTCTTTGAAATAAAGAGCTAGAAAACAACAGGCGTTCAGCTATCTCTCTTAGTTTAATTCTCAGTGATTGAGCTGGAACTAGAAAAAGTTCTCTAGTGGATTTGGCATGGCTCCTCAGGTCATCTAACTGACGGGTAGTGTCCATCATACTCCTACAACAAAAAAACAATAATTGAAACAAAAATGAAATACAAACATAACAGGATATCTAACTAATAAATTTATTTGAACAAAAAATATTTTACTGTGTAGGGAAAATGTGAGACAGTCACTTGAACAAGATGAGAACGTAACTGGTAAAAGCTATTATTAAAGAATCGCAATGAACATAGCTTAACATGCTTACGAATCCTTATGGACAGTTGAGGTTAGGCCCGAAAAAATAATGCATGTATCCGCGAAAACGATCACCTCAGGGGTTATTGAAAAGCTACCGACGAAATAATCACAGCAGGGCATATACGCGTAATACTTTATCAGCTTAAACAAATCAATTAGTCGCTATGATGACATACAAAATGTTGCACAAAGGTCGGAATTACGTACCTGTACAGACGACGGGACACCTCGACACCCTCGTTTCGAATGTCTGAAATAGGACTGAGGGATTGATCCATTGTGTCAGCTAGGTAAGTATCGCCTATTTGAAGTAAAGTTTAAAGTTGTTACACGAGGCATTAATAAATTCCAGCCAAAACACATCATGCTATCATTTTATCACCAGACTTCATTGAGACACGAACGGTTTTACGTGTTATTCACATTGAAAGTTCACGGGGGGAGGGGAAGGGGAGGGAGGGGACGTTTGCGCATCCACGTATGAAAAATAAATCGAGCATCGTAGGCCTTGCTTGAATTGAACAAACATTAGACCACCCTTATTGTGGCCTAGTACAAAATATGTAAAAACTGAGAGTTCGATCTCCAGAATTTGCACTTACTGTCGAGCTGTCGAGTATAAATCTCCTTTATCTGCTTTCCCCGGGGGAAGTC